GAGGGTTCTCGACCCCGCACAACATGATCTACTCGACCACCATGATGGTTACCGCCAAAAAAAAAAGCGGAGATGGGAAAAAAAAACGGTAACCTGGTTGCCGAGTTCACCAAGTGATTGGCTTGTTTACAACGTCGTTGCCAAGCGACGAAAACCCAACCCCGATGGCAAACACCGGGGGGGAGGGGGAGGCAGGGTCAAATCAGAGCTGGACGGAAGACGCCGACAAATTGCAGCAAACGCCACACGCAACGTTGGTGGAGGTGCCTTGCGTGATGAATGTTGGCATGGTCGAGCTCCGTGCTATTTCTAATACAATGCTACATCTGCATTTCTTGTCACGTTTCTGCGCTTCTCCCCGCATCCACACACCCCTTCTCCATGACATTTCTATCTCCGTCTCTCATGAACCATACCACCTTCCCTTCCACCTCCCCCCGTCTTGGCTAGCATCGAGCAGCAGCAGCAGCAGCAGCAAAAACAAACAACCGCGCACCTGATGGTCGCACAGCGCGAACGCGCGGCACTCGCCGCAGTCGAGCGTCTCGCCGCCGTTCTCCTTCCTGACCTGGACGAGCCCCTCCTCTCTCAGCACCCGGTTCAGGTACACCGGCCGGTCCACCCGCTCGATCGCGTACTCGCTCAGGATCACCACCCTCGCGCCGACGGCCTCCGACTCGTAGTACCTCACCAGCCCTTCCACCACCTCGTCGATCTCCTTGAGGTCCTTCAGAACCTTACTGTCGGGGTCGTCCGGGTTCGTTGTTGCCGTCCCCTGCTCGCTCGAGGGAGGGGGCCCGTACTTCTGCAGGCTGTAGTCCAGGTGCGGGAGGTAGATGAGGGCGAGCGTCGGGTCGTGCTCCTTGTCAACCTGGAGGGCCGCGGCCGCCGTCCACTTGGAGGACTCGATCGACGTGCCTGGGCCCCAGAAGCGGTGGAGGGGGAAGGTGCCGAGGCTCCCCTGGAGCTCCTCCCGCAGCCCCGCAGGGTGGGTGTAGATGTCGGCGACCTGCGCAGAAAAGCAACGCATCGTTTTGCATCACCACATGTTGGAGGCACGCAGGGGTGCGCGGGGAGGCGTCGGCAGCGCCGGTAGTAGTTGTGGCGCCTCTTACATATATCGTCTGTCATGCCCAAACAAATTGATGCCTTCTTCGAAAGCACGCCGCCGCCGGCTCGAATACAAGGGGCCCAGGGATGTGGCGACGACGTCTCGCTTCAAGACGAACACGGCGGATTTTCAAGACACACACACACACACACACACACACACACACACACACACACACTGCTGTCTAGCTTCAACAGCTGTACAGCAAAGCAGGTACGCCTTCGTTTCCCCTCTTTTTCTTTACCTTTCCCCCGTTCTGGAGGTACTGCGGGCGGACGTTAATGAAGTAGTCGATCTCGTGGTCATGCATCCCGTGCCACAGCCCGTTGACGAACACGGTGGCCTCCGGGTGCCGGGCCTTTAGAGCGTCCCAGATGCGGGGCGCGCGCACAAGCTTGGAGCTCTGGTGCCAGTTCTTGACCTCGCAGTACGACCGGTCATAGAAGCCCTGTGTGTGTTCGCCGGTCATTCGTGTCAAACAACAGAGTCGACATATTTTGAGATATTCTTTTACGTGCACGCTAGAGACCCGCCAAAATGTTCTGATTGGTCCGGACGGGGGGCTGGCCAATATACAACAGTAAAAGGGGGAAGGTAGGTACACCCCCATGTTGGTTGTATTGTGGGGCTGGCAACAGGTGAGCGCTGCATTTTTACTAACAATTGACACAATAATCGCGCTTGCTTGCTGGGGGAGCGAAAGGAGAGTGCGAGATTGCAGTAAGGGCAAGCGAGAGACAAGGCCCGGCCTCAAACTGGAATTGTGCATTCAGACTTGACACCCAGACCAAGAGACCAAGAGTTGGACCGGGAAGAAACACACAACTCTCGGTGTGACTGGGAGAAATGACGACAGGACAGCTTGGTTCTTACTCAAGTACGAAGTAGAAGCTAGTAGTTCCAAAGGAAAGACCACCCGTTCGAGACACTACCACAGTGAATAGTCAATGTTTTTGTTTTCCAGCTGCAGTTCCAGCACGCTGAACTTTGGGGTCGGAAAAGCGGACTTGCATTCCATAAATCAAACCATATGAACCGCAACCCAGAGCTCCCAACAGCTGAAGGTCTTCTCGAGGTAGGATGGCGAAAGACTGCAAGAAGATCTCCTTGTTTCGCTCACGCCACACAGCACGAGGGAGGTGCTTTGCAATCGCACACCACGCACAACGGACGCCACACCCAATCCGCGAGCAACTTGAGCTCAAAGGTCTGGGTTCGGAAAAAGCGGGAGACTTGTAGGTTGCAGGCTCTCCCTTTTACCCCGATAATTCTGTGGAAACTTCGGACTGACTCTTGGTTTGGGTGTGTAAAGTCTGGGTACATTTCTGGCCAAAGACCGGGCCCAAAGAGAAGACAGGTACAAAGGTTGATACTGGTGTAGTTATTTGTACCCATCGTGCGCGACAGGCATAGCGACAATTGTACCGCCTGAAAGGTTGTCACGATCTACCGGTAGAGGCAGTGAATCGCTGAGCCCAAAAGTACTGCTGTAACGCAGGCGCATATGAAAGGAGAAAAGAGGTGGGCCGTCGGCACCAAAGACCAAAAGTCTCCATAGACGATAGTACAGCAGTAGTCTAGGATTATCCGCGATAGCACCAGAGCAGTTTTGCATAAACTGGGTTTCAAATTATCCTCGCGCACCATACAGGCTGCGATATTCCCTTTTGGGTAACACGCTGGGCGCAGCTCGGTGGCCAATCCCATCCTGTGTAGACTACATACCGAACCGTTTCAGTGTCGACGATTCACAGCCGTCGCATGGTTGACGTGTTTGTGGTCTACTATATAGAAACCATTTGTGCATCTCCCTCGATGCACCGCAGCCCGATACGAAACATCACCACCAGCAATCTTGGAGAGGGTCTTTCACTGCTGCTGCTGCTGCACGCCACGAGAGAGTATACCTCAAGCTACACGTGGAAGCTCCGGACTCTGCCTTGAAGTTCAAAGGAAGAGAAAACACGCTTTCCTTTCTCAAACATGTACAACTGGTAGATACAGCAATTTTTTTCTTGCCCACTCCACTTTTGTACACAGCAGTAGAGATCACCACATCTTACGTTCGCCGTGATGCCGTGGGTCACGGGACCCGTGCCGGAAAGGTAGGTCGACTGAGCTGGACACGTCAGGGCCGGAAAGGCCGGCTCCACGTCGCGATCCAGGACATCCGAGCGGGAGAGGTAACCATGAAGGAACGGGGTGTACTCGGCGCTGATCAGGTTGCGGCTAAGCGCGACAACGTCCAGCACCACAGTTTTCTGGGGACCACCTGCTGCTGCTGCTGCTGCTGCGTCTTCCATGGTCAACCGGACGAATGCGTCGGGGGGAGAGAGGGAGGGGTGAGGATGGATGGGTGCCAGCTTCAGGCACACGCTTGTTGCGCTTGCTGCAAAAAGAGCGCGTGAAGGACACAGCAGGCTTACCTGCGCCTGTTGCCCGTGGGGGCTCCGTGATACCGAGGAAACAAATTAGAAAATCTCGCCGCCTTTTCGGAGAACCGGTGCACGACGACACACAGAGCGGATGTGGTGCCGCAGCCAACCGCTCTGACATCTATTGCTTCGATATTTCCCTCACACCTCACACCGACTCGTGCGCACAGCAGTCTCTACCGTTCTCGGCTTCACCTGTGTATCAGGTTCCCCGCCACCAGGTAAGGCCGCAAAACTTAGGCGGGTATAGTCTACATGATAAGTCCTAGAGGCTGCGACAATCGAGCACCAGCGGTAGAGATGTATGAGAACAGAACAGAACGTGGTGATGACATAGATTCCACCGGTGGCCATCATCATCATCGTCCACCTGCTTCCCAGCAGATGCCAGCAGGATCGGCTGCGGCGGCAGCAGCAACAACGGACGCACCAGATGATCGCCTCCTCGTCGTGGTGACGGGAGGCTCCAAGGGGATCGGTCGGTCGTGCGTGGAGTCCTTCGCCAGGCGCGGCGCGCGGGTGCTCTTCACCTACTGCTCCGACGCGAAAGGGGCGGAAGCGGTCGCCGCGTCCTTCCAGCCCGCAGGAGTCGTGCAAGGCCGTCGGCTCGACCAGGGAGACTTCGACAGCGTCAGGGCGTTCGCCGCCGAGGTAGACCGGTGGCGGGGAGGCAGGGAGATCAGCGCTGTAGTCAACAACGCCGCGCTTGGGAGCTCCACCGTGAGCAACTACTGCGGCCTGCCGCCTCCGGCCCCTGTTTCTTCTTCTCGCCCGGCCGCCGCCCACCAAGATGGAGCAAGCGGAGGAGGATCAACGGCAGACGACGATTTTGAGGCAGCCCGCAGACGCGCGGACGAGGACATGGCCTTGATGCGCGTGAACGCCCTTGGCCCGATGTGGGTCACGGAAGCGTTGTTGCCGATGATGGTGCCGAGGTCCAGGCCTGCCGGGGAGAACGAGGATCCGTTGACGGGGGCAGAGGCCACTGAAACAGCAGCAGCAGCAAACGGAGGTGGACGAGAAGGAGCTTCGGCGTTCCCATGCGCTCTCGGGAGCACAAAAAAAAAGAAGACGGTCTTGTTCGTAGGCTCGGTCGGCGGCGGCTCCCACGCCGTCTTCCCGGGGTTCCGCTACGCGGACGCCATGAGCAAGGCCGCCGTCGCCTACGGTGCCAAGTACATGGCGGCGCGCAGCCGCCAGCTGCGGCAGCAGCAGGACGCCGGGCGGGACGCTACCGCGCGCGCCGACAACGGCTCCTCTGCTGGTGCTGCGGGCGGCGCTCAAGCGGCGACGGCGGCGACGGCTGAGTCCGACTTCGACCACCCGAGCGGGGGCGTCGACTTCCTGTGCCTGTGCCCGGGGGCGACCCTAACGGACATGCTTCGCACGAGCACGCTGGACGCGATTGAAGCCAGGGGCCCCGGAGAGCTCGAGCGCTTCCTGCGGGCGCTGCCGCAGGGGCGGCTCATGCTGCCGGAAGAGGTTGGGGAAGCGGTGTACTGGTTCTGCTCCTCCCCCGCGGCGACCATGTTCCACGGCGCCGTCATCGACGCGTCCGCCGGGCTCGCGGTCCGACCGGGGGCTCTCACGGAGTATACCTTTTCGTCTTGAAATGGCTGGTCTTTAAGGCTGTATATGGAACCCGCCATGCTTCCGGGCAACGATTGGGTGTTGGACTAGTGTGTGATCGTATAGATCCTGTTTTTTCGTAATTGGCAGTGATGTATAGTACGGCGGTTTCGATATGGTCTATACCTATCCTTACGGCCAGTGTTTCCTCTTTCACATGATGTGACTAGTTCGCGAGAGGGAGGGCGGAAACCTGCCACGTTCCATGTTTTTCCGGGTATCGATATCCTTGTTCCGTGAACGGCTATTGCCCCCCAAAATACAATTTGAGAGCAGGTCCATAGGAGGTGTGTCATACAAGGTTGCGCGCCTCCTGTTGCTCTTCCCGTTGCTGCAAACAGCAGAACACTGGAGTATCGCATAGGGTAAGCCAACCGTTGACCGGTTGGGGCCTTTCCAATTCTGGATTGGAACCAGGATGCGAGAGTCCCAACCCCCTGCAAGGCGAAACGTAGGATTCTTCGAGAACGCGCCCTGGGACGATTGGATGATGTTGGTAGGTCTAGATAGGGATGGGGGGTCGATCTCCCCAAGAAAGTGATAACAACCCATGGCACGGAGTATTTTTGACGGGCCAACAACGTAGGTTTCCACCGTGGGGTTGCATCTACGTTGCCAAGGGAGCTGCGAGGCTTGGATTGCAGCCTTGTTTCGTTGTACTGTAAGGGTCTACGCATCTGTCGTTCTTGTGCTGTTTTCGGTGGTGTTTTTTTTGCTGCAATTTCTCTTTCATGAGCCATGCGTTTATCCGAGACTTCATGAGGCAATTGTTGCGCCAACAGGTCACGGCAAGAGTATCAGTATCGCTTCGGGGTGAATCTTGCGGCACCATCCGGCACGTTGGCGTTGCGCAGTGGCAGGCATGGTTCGTGTCTTTGCCAGCAAGAGTACCCAGATGGTGCTCCATGTTCCAGTTTCTGGAACAGATTTTGAGGAGAAAAAATGACGAAAACAACATCACATGCATACCAGCAACAATATTCTTCCGGAACGGATGCGTTCGATTTTCTAGGTGGCCACAGCCCTGGCGAAAACAGGACATACCGGGAAGAACTCAAACGCGGGGAAGGAAAAGATAGCGGCACCCCCTAGAATTGTTCATCGAAGTGTTTGTGCTTCGCCGGCGATTTTTGTTGGGGGCGAGTTCCCACGGCCTAACCAACGTCCTCGACGGAATTTTCGGTGCGTCTTGGTCCCTGTCTGTCGTGATAGCATACAAAATACACGCATGCCGCCTGCTGAGCAGGGGTATCCTGCGGAGTTAAGACACAGCATGATGCGCACACCCGTAAAGTGGTCTGTATCCTACTCAGACAGCGCCGAAACCCCCACCACCACGGCCCCTCAAGCGCCCATGTATACACCGAGATCAATGCCATTAGCAACACATGCACAAATGGTACGACAAGAAGAGATGTCTATAAACGACAAGATTCTCGGAGTTGATAGAGGCAATGGGCACACCGAAGGATGCCGCAGGTCGGGACCAGGCCGGATCTAGAATCATAGAAGGGTGGGAAAAGCTGGTAAACACAACGAACGGCAAGTAGAGTTCTCGGTAGAAAGCTGATACTTTGTAAGAGAGCAGTGAAGTGGTGGGACGAAGAAATCAAGCAAGCAATTCGAGTACGTAGAGAGTCACACGCCAAATATGCGGCAGGGAAAACCGAAGCAGGATGGAAGGAGTATATTGAAAATAGAAAGAGGGTGAAGGAGTTGGTGGTGAAGAAGAAAAAAGCGTTGTGGGAGGAAGTAGTCCAAAAGACTAACGAAGATTTTGAGGGGGGGATGGAGCAAATGTGGGTAGGAATCCAAGGAATAGTGGGCAAGAAAAGAGGGGGAGACACGGGAAGAGCGACACT